TAAGATCAAAACACGCAAATCAGTTGTGTTTTTGTTCTTCATTAATGTGTGAACCAAAAGGAAATTAAGAAAACGATTCCAACTACAGTAACATCTAGAAAATAAAGTACCCAGAAATAAACTTAACCAAGAGTGTGAAAGACACTGAAAACTACAAAATATTGCTGATATCATTTAAAGAAAACCTAAATAGCTCTGGCTGGTGTGGATTGAGTGGTGGCCTGCAAACCAAAGGGTCACCTGTTCGGTTCTCAGTTAGGGCAATGCCTGGGTTGCATGCCTGGTCCCCAGTTGGGGGCATAAGAGAGGCAACCACACACCGATGTTTCTTTTCCTCTCTCCCTCCTTTCGCCTTTTCCCCTCTCTCTAAAAGTAAATAAATAAAGTATTTTTTTAAAAAGGTCAAAACTATGAACAGTAAAATGACAACAAACACAACTATCGACAACTGAACCTAAAAAAAACAAAAGCCAACTAAGAAAACATCTAGAACAGGAACAGAATCACAGAAATGGAGATCACATGGAGGGGAAGAATAGGGAGAAAGGTACTGGTGATAAGAAGCATGATTGGTAGATACAAAATAGACAGGGGGAGGTTAAGAATAGTATAGAAAACAGAGAAGCCAGAGAACTTAGATGTATGACCCATGGACATGAACTAAGGGATGGGAAGGCTGGAGGAAGGGAGGGTGCAGGGTGGAAAAGGGGGATAAAGGGGAGAAAAAATGGAACAACTGTAATAGCATAATCAATAAAATATACTTTACGAAAAAGAATTAAGCATTTATCATTTATCATACCTTATGGTAACTAAGTAATTTACTTGGATAGTTTCTCTTATGGAAGAAGCATTTTAGCTAATAAGTGAAAAAGAAATGATAAGATGATAGAAAAAATTTGAAAACCTCTAGTTTTTGCAACCCATAGTGGATTTAGGCGTTTATCATCCAAGGCCTGTTCTATTCGTTTTTTAGGGCTGCTGTACCAATTTCCATGAGCTGGATGGCTTAAAACAACAGAAATTTACTCCCTCCAAGCTCTGGAGGCCAAAATTCAGAAACCAAAGGGCCAGCAGGGCTGCACTTCCTCCAAAGGCTTTAGGGGAGGATCGGTTTCTTGCCTCTTTCAGCTTCTGGTGCCTCCAGACATTCTTTGGCTTGTGGCTGCCCGGCTCCAGTCTCTGCCTCCAGTCTCTGCCCCCAAGGTTACACTGAATCCTCCATCCGTGTTTTCCTTGGTATGTCTTTTATAAGGACACTCAGTAGATTTAGGCCCATCCAGGGAATTAAGAATGATCTTGTTATCTTAAAATCTTTAGCTATCCTTAACTTAGATAGATCTGCAAAGGGCCTTTTTCCAGACGAGGTAACGTTCACAGGTTGCAGGGATGTATCTTTTCAGGGGCCCCCATTCAGACCACTGCAGCTGTTAATAACATCAAAAGAGGCAAGTCAGAGGCAAGCTTTCTCATAGAAGTGACCGCCACCTTGTCAAAACCCAGAAACAAGCAAAACACCTGGATGTAATCAAGCATCAATATATAGGAAATATAGGAAATAGAACACTACAAGGATGCATGCAATAAGATTCATATGTGGGAAGCTCTATAGACAAAAACCCAGTTCAACAACTAAAATGCAAGGATCGAATGAGGAGAAAGAGAAGGAAACCTGAGTATTTTATTTTTTATTTTTTTAATTATATTTTTGAAACCTGCACATTTTATTTTTTAATTACATTTTATTGATTATGCTATTACGGTTGTCTCAGTTTTCCCCTTTGCCCCCCTCCACCCTCCACTTGACTGCCTCAGGCAATCCCCACACCGTTGTTCATGTCCGGGGGTCATGCCTATAACTTCTTCGGCTACTCCATTTCCTGTGCTGTACTTTACATCCCATGGCTATTCTGTGACTACCTATTTGTAGTGCAGGCAAAGGTCAGCCCCCACCTGTGATCAGCCAGGGGCCACCCTGCATGAGCTATAAAGCATTTGAGATGACTGCTGCTATTGTGCTGGGCTTGGAGATTCTCGGGAAAAACCAAGTTGTGAATCTAGGCTGGCTGCTGCTATGCCAGGCCAGGGGCCACTTAGCAAGAGGTATGGGGGCTAGAGGGTTAGCTGTTCCTTATTTGAGAGGATTTAGGAAGTTGTAAAGCATGAGCCAAGACCAACCACTCAGGTGGAAAAGTCAGGATTTACAGCTTGGGTGAGCTGGAGCCTCAGGGGATCTCCAGGGCAGGACAAACAGTGTTAGATTGATGAAGTCTCAGATATGGTACCCACCTGCTAGCTCTGTGGCTTTCTGGGGGGAGGGCCCAGAAAAGGGACAGTAGTCTCAGTCCGCATTTCTGTGTGGGAGAAAGCTGTCCCCCAGCTCTTACCTGGATCCCAGTCACTTCATTTCCTCCTGTGTGCCACTGCTGCCTTTCAAGCTGCTACCCTGGTGCTGGAGCTCAGAGGGAGTGAGTCTGTGTAAGTCTACATGTGAGTTTTTTAAGGGGAACAGCTTCAGACTCTAGCAGTTTCTTCCACCAACTCAATTCCCACTGGTTTTTCAGCCAGAAGTTATGGGGACTTACCTTCCTGGCACTGGAACCCTGGTCTGGGGACTGGGAGTCTTCTCTCCTGAGATATCCCTCCCGATTTTTTATCCCACACACGTATGTGGGAATAGCCCATTCTGTGTCCACCCCTCCCACCAGTCTGGATGGATGTGGTTTCTTTAATTCCATAGTCGTCGGACTTCCATTCAACTCAATTTCTGATGGTTCTGAGTGATGGTTGTTCTATATTTTAGTTGTAACCTTGATGTGGTTCTGTGAGGAGGTGAGCTATGTCTCCCTATGCCACTATCGTGACTGGAAGTCCCCAGGAACCAATGGTTGATTCTTGTATGTGCCCTCACTGGGGATGGAATCTGCAACCTTGGCATAGGGGGGATGATGCTCTAACCAAATGCACTACCTGGCCAGAGCCTGCAGCTTTTTAAAATTGGAAGTGGAGGAAGTAGGTGGGTTTATAGATGAAGCAATATTGGCCACAAGGGGATGTTTTTGGAAGTTGGTAAATGGGTATGTGGGGATACATTATACTCTTGTCTGTATTTTTATATGTGTTTGAAATTTTTTGTAAGAAAAAATTAAAGTTTTTGAGAGGTTGGAAATTCCCCCTGCACCCAAAAGATATATAGTACCTGGGAGGATAGGTTTGGCAACTAGAGGGGCGCTTCTCTTAGCTTTTTCCTTATGGTGATTGGGGAGGCTCCCAAGACTTTGTCAAGAGCTCTTACAGCTACTCTCGCTTAAACTGGACCCTTGGAAAAGAACAAAGCACATTTCCCTCTGAGAAGATGTTGATTCAGCCAGCCTTCCCTGGGCGAATTCTCCCAATCACTCCTCACCCACCCCACCTCCACAGTTTGGATTAAATATCACCTTTTGTGCTCTCCTAGTACCCTCTGCATACTTCCTTAGTGTGTTGTAATTTTATGGCCTGTGTGGTTCTCCTGGTTTCCAGATTATACAGGGTCCAGCAGCAGTAACACCTGCTTGAGTGGGGCTGGTAGGGTCATAATATGTGTGTAATAATTTATAATTTTATTTTGAACATTTTGCCTAAAGTGTCAGTATGGTGCGCTTGAGTGCAATATTGTTATGTCACAAAATTACATGATGATTTTGTAATGATAGAGACATTCTTTGTGCCAGACCCTGTATATTTCTTGAGTATACTAACCTTGATGATTTATCTTTATTCATTTATATATTCCTCCTCACCCCCACATTAACATTGGGCCTAGTTAAGCTCTCTCAATCAATGTTTATTGAATGAGGGCCAGGAGAGCAATAGAGAAACTGGGACTGTACTGGTAAATAAAATGCAAAATACACCCCCTGCTTTCTCTGTCTTCTCAGTAACCCTTTTCCCAGGTCTGCTAAGGTATCGCTACAGAGCCGCTTTAAACTGTTTCTTCCTCTGCCCATCCTCTGGCAGAGGTACTAATGAGCTGTGAAATGCCACGAATGAAAGATCAGCAAAGAGTAAGCAGTGTAATAAAATGGGTTTCTGCACAATCAAATGTTGCTGATTTCTGTTCTTTCCCAGGGCATATGATCAATGAATTGTTTTCAGATGGCTGTCTTTCTTTGCAGTTTTGCTACTTCTCTGTATATCTGAATTCCCCTTCTACATAAATTCCCTTCTACTTTGTCTTCTTGGTATGCTTTCAAAAGGTAATTAGAATGTCACCTCCTAGAAAAGGTATCAAAGAAGTACTGTAAAAATACTCTTTTGTGCTATGGGTGAGGTTATCTGGCAGTTTCCCAGGGGGTCGCAACCTCCATCAAACCAACTGTTAGAGGCTTAGGATGTGGTGCAAGCGGTGAAAGGAGAAAGGAGCACAAACTGTTAGTTACAAAATAGTCACAGGGAAGGAAGTAAAGCACAGGGAATATAGTCAGCAATGCTGCGATAACTACAGGGCCAGCAGGCGTGCGGGAGATATCGAGGGGAGCACTGCGTGAAGTGGGATCATCTAATCACTGAGCTGTTCACCTGAAACCAATCCAAAACAAAACCGGAAAAAGGGGGCCTTCAAAACTTTAGAACTGGGAGAGACCCAGGAAACTAATGTCCTTCCAGATTTGGGTGCGTGCGCACAAACACACACACGCATCAGAAAGAATAGCTTTTCAGATGCAGCTATCTTGTCGCTCTCTTAAAATATTGTATATTGTCTAGTGTCAGTATGCGGGTTAGTTTCTAAACTAGTACTTTCCAAATTTAGATTCCTGAGAAAATAGGACACACAAGTAACACACTGTTACCTAAAATGACAAAAAAAAAAATGTGTAATTATCATTTCTTTTTGACCATGTAGTGTTGGGTGATTTCTCATTTTGGGAAAAGAGCAGAATAAATCTTAAACATTAAAATGTAACTACGGGTCATTTTAACCTTATTAAAGCCTTAAAGATACTCTGTTTCCTCTGTAGGTGGTACGGGACTATAATCTTCAGCTGTTTCTACAAGAGAATGCTGTGTTCCACAGACCCCAGCCCTTCCAGTTCCAGCCTTGTGACAGCGATACTGTAAGGGGATTCCAGATTTCATTTCACTCGTTTGTAAGCTCTGTTCGTGCTCAGACAATTATTCTTGAAGTAGAAGAAGCTGAGCATGTCTCACTAATGTTATAACAAACTACAAGGATACAGAGAAACTGTGATATTCTTTGTAAAATACAGCTACCATGCTAACAACTTCCTACTAAATTGGGTTAAATTGTAAGACAAGTTACTACTGAAAGCTGAAGTTAGGGAAGAAGAAAAAAATATTCAGTAAAGGCTTTTTCCAATTCAAATATAAATTATACTTTCTATCCACGAAATTCGTCACATACATGCCCTTTAAAAGAAACCAGTGGTGAAATTTTAACCAGAATAGAATTAATAAATAGAATAATGAATATGTGCATGCAAATATTTTATTGGCTTTATACAAAATTATAGGCCTTTTATAATATCTTTCAGATTTCTCAGAATGTTAAAGTATTAACACAGACGCCACACTGGCAATTTTTTAAAAGCTAACACTAGTCACCTATTTTTATTCTTGAGTTTACTCTCTGAAAAAAATGCCAGTTCTTGAAATTAAGAAAAACAAAAAGCTAATTTGATCATCTAAAAAGAGGAATCAACTTCTGCAAGGTGAGACAGCCCATGTCCGGCTCTGTCTCTGCGCCCGCGCCTCCAGCTCTCGGTCCCGCGAAGGCCGGCCAAGGTGGCGGTCAGTTCTGGGGCGAGTTCTGATGGAGAGCCGGGGCTCGTACCCGGGCGTGTATGAGGTCAGAGGTTGGTGGTACCAGTTCAGCAGAAACCTTGCTAGAGACAGCTTCATTACCTTTCTTACCCAAGTTTAAGTAGCCCTGGTTGTAGCCCTATAAGGAAATGTAGGGAAGAAAGCCTTTTCCTGTAGATTATAGCCCTTGCCATTTATACCAGTGGCTTTTGTTTGTTGGTTGAGTGCCTTAAGCAGTCAGCTTTTGCTTAATGATTCAGTGTCCTCGTTCTATAAGTTGACTTCTTTGAAGCCTGGGAGGAATAAAGCAAAGCATTGGAAGATACAGAGTGTACACACGTTTGCCAGGCTTAACTGAAAATTGTGACCGATTTGAGATTATTTTATCTTTGCTCATTTTCCTCAGAAAAACCAAAGTAACGGTGATGCTCATCTCGCTTGTCCTGGCTGCAACCTTAAATCCCTTTCTGTTTCTAGACATCGTGCTAAATGTTCTTAGCTGTGTCCCTCTTTGCCTTGAAATGCTAACTGTGCTGTTTTCTGTCCTTGTGCGATCTTTGCTGGGCAGAGTTTAAAAGCTGCCCAGCTGGTGGATATTGAGCTCTCCCCTGTCAGTGCTCTGAGAATGACCATAGCTGAGGTATATGGGGGTGTGGGTCAAGGGCGGGTGCCATGGGGTGTGTCTGTTGCATGTTAATGAGGGGTGGGACCTGCTGTTGGGATGAAATGTGTGCATGTATTTGTATAAGGGACCCCTGAAGCATGAGATGGGGCTTTCCACTTCCCCTTGTAAGGCAGGGATTTCCTTTCCTGTGTATAGTGAAAAGATTGAGCTGCTCATTTTTCGTCTTGTCTGAAGCACCCTAATTTTCCTCAGAGGAGTGCTGAAGAGAACCTTTCAGAGCTCATCTTGCCTTTATTAAAGGGGAGACCGAAACCTAGGAAAAGAGACTTGTCCAGAGCTGCACCGTGAATTGAGGCACCTTTCTGAGCCGATGGCAGTTTTACTCTCTGCCTGCTACTGTTTTCTCAAAAGAAGTAGTGAGCACTTGGGGAGCAAGTAATTTTTTTTTCATAATGGAAAAAAATAAATGCCCATTGTTTCATAAAAACTATTGTCAACCATTGGAAAAGTCTTTAGAATAATCATTTTTAAATGTTTTTAACTGCAAAATGTTTTGTATTTTGTTTTGTTGTAAATGAAGTATTTTTACTGCCCACAAGGATTAAAATCCCAAATCATCATTTTTACTCCGTTCAGACTAGCACTGTTCTTCCACGTGGGCGTGGGCCATCGTTTCTGCCCTCTGGGCTCCTCGTGGGGCTGGCGGCGCTGGGCCGGTCACGGAGCGCGGAGCACCGGCGTGCTCATTAACGCACCGCGCTCATTGCCCAGCGAATGCAGGGCACACAGGAAGGACCGATGACCACTCTCCTCTGTTGTTATTTCTGTTGTATTTCTCACCCCCGTGAGGTAGGTGGCATTTCCACCAATTTTCAGGTGTAACTAGGACGCAGATTAGTCAACCTGCCGAAGATCATGAAGCTAGAAAATGGCGTAGAGAGGATCTCGGTCTACCTGACTCCACCTGTGCATGGGCTTTTCAGAATACACCTTCCTACCTGTGGACATCGGAGTCCTCCAGCTGATGTACATTGTCTTTGCATCCAGGGTTGGACGTTTTAAACCCTGACTTCTGAGAACAGATAGAAATTTAAATGCTAGGTCCTTTTACAAAGCTAAATATAAAAACAAAATCAGTCTCCAGATTCCTAGTAGCCCCAAAATGATATAGATATTAAATATAATTATAAAGTTGATTAGATTTGGATTTTCATTCTTTTGCCGTTTCAATTCATTTATCACTATACAATCTGGCTTTAGATTATATAGACACTAGCTGAAATGTCTGCATAAAATAAAGTTTTTCGACTTTGCCTACAATCCCAACAAAAATATTAAATTTTTGAGTGAATTTATCAACTTCTACTTACCCTGCTGATTTTGAGCATGGGACCTTGCAAAAGCCAGTGTTCTGAGATCTCCCCACTCTAAAATTTTGCTTCTTTTTATATTAAAATTCTCTTTGGATAATTCATAATTAAGGAATTTTTTCTTTTCTAATTATTTTGATAAAGTTTTATTATGAGTTCTTAAGAGTTTAGAGAAAGTTAAAATAGTTTTAGTGGTTCGGAGTTCTGAGTCTGGAGTCAGATACATGCAATCTCGGTTGATATCTGATAGATGGTGGAAATTCTACTTAATCTCTCTAGCTGCGGCTTATGGCCCATCTCATAAGGTTGGTAAAAGTACAGAGTGGCAAACTGGGTTTACAGTTGTTCATATGGAAAATAATATGATAATTAATAAATAATACAAGAGTAAACCATTCCATGCACTCACAACTGTAAATGGACTCTTGCCCCACCCAGTATGGAAACACTTTCCACAGTGCCTTGAACAGTAGGGGTTACTACTGTCACTACTGTTCATTTAGATTTTGCAGTTTGTTGTTTGTTTTTGTTAAGATTTTCTTTCTTCTTAGAGAGAGGGTAAAGGAGGGAGAAGGAGAGGGAGAGATGTTGTGCAAGAGAAACATCAGTTGGCTGCCTCTCACACACCCACAGCCACAGCCCCAGCGTGTGCCCTGTCTGGGCCCTGCGCCCTTCTGGTGCACAGGGTGACACTCAGCCCTCTGAGCCACACCGGCCAGAGCTGCAGTTTGTTCTTTGTGAAACATAATCAGAGCATGTTAGGGTTAGAAGAAACACTTAGTGGTCATTTGATCTAGCACCGCCATCTTTCATGTGACGTGAAAGCCCAGAGGAAAGGTAAAAGCTAGTTTGAGGTTTGGTGGTAAGTTGGTGATGGACCTGAAACTAAACCCATTAATTAAGATAATTAAACCCATTATCTTGCGGAGCAGAGAGTCTGTGTTGCTATTACTGTTTCTTTTCACTCTATCCAGTGATTCTTTCTTTAATCCCATTGAAACTATTGAGTTGTTTCCATTTTTATCTATGCAACTGTTTTAGTGCCATGGTAGGCTGGCATGAGTTTTTCTTCTCCGCATAGCTAGCTTTCTTCACACCCCAAACGGATCAGCCCACCATGTTAGAGATGCAGCTTTAGTGCTGAGCAGTAGAAGACAAAAAAACCTGTGGTTGTCGCCGGTTAATGTTGCGAAACAGTGACACATGTCTCATGTCTTCAGTGCTAATTAAGGAAGGCCCTCTGATCCACCTACCACGTGGCCCTGATTTCAGTGAGGATAACAGTGCTTTTCTCTGTTCTCTCTTGTGTCGTAGAGCCGACAATTAGAGTCAGAAACGGGGACCACAGAGGAGCACAGTCTAAACAAGGAGGCTCGGAAATGGGCCACACGCGTGGCACGTGAGCACAAGACCATCGTTCACCAGCAGCGGGTGAGTGTGACTGAGGGCCGCAGGCTGCGTTTAGCCCAAGCCAAGTGTCTGACCACCTTAAAGAGTTGAGTTTTATTGATGTTCTGAAGAATAGCCCCCACATGTTTCTTCTGTAACTCCTCAGCACTCAGCAGTCTGCTCGCACTGTCTGCTTTGCTTGGGAATCCTAAGGCCCTGTGGCATCAGCACGGTGATTTCTCTGTTTGCCGCGGAGCTGCCCAAGGAAGGCTAGTGACAGTGTCTTGCAGCCTCTTGGGAAGTGGAAGAGACATAAATGTGTTGAATTTGGCTTTTCATTCCCAAGACAAAATTTTTGAAGGCACAATTGTAGATTCCATGAAAATGTATCATCAAGACTAAACTGAAAGTACAAAGAAATCGTTAGGTATAGTACTTTCTTCCTCGATTTCCATTTATTTATATTTTTATTATTGTCTTTCTTTACCTGCACATCCAGTTTCTTAAAAGAGTCCATGTATTTAACAGCTGTATTTCCTAGCACCCCACTTAACCACCTTTGGGCCCGTTGCATTTGGTCCTTTCCTGCCTTCCCTTTCCCTGCACTGCTGTGCGGAGCCTACACTTCTGAAAATCACCGATGGTGTCGTGTTGCTAAAGCCAAAATGACACTTTGATTTCTCATCTCACTTAACCCATGACAGCTTCATCACAATTGACAACACCTTCCATCCTGAAACCTTTTCTTCCCTGGTCATCCATGACGTCACATGGCCCTGGTTTTCCTGCTGCTGCGCTGGCCATTCCTAGATTCTTCTGTAGCTTCTTTCTCTATCTCACGTTTAAATATTTAAATTCCTTAGATTTCTGTAGTAGGCTCTCTTCTTTTCTTATTCTTTATTCTCATTATAGGCAATCGCGACCTCTTCCCTGGTTTCACTTAGCAACCAATGACTGACAGATTGAGCCCAGTCTTCAACATTAGGCTTATCTTCTTGTATCCATATGTCCACTTGCCTGCTTTGACACATACTTCTCACTATCTTACTTACAGACATCTTAAACTCAGTGTTCCACTTATCTAATGCTGCATAGTAAAACACTGTAGCCCTGTCTGGTGCGGCTCAGTTGGTTGAATGTCACCCCTCAAACCAAAAGGTCGTGGGTCCAATTCCTGGTAGGGGTACATGCCTGGGTTTTGGGTTCGGTCCCCAGCTGGGTGTGTATAAGAGGCAGCTGGTCAATGTTTCTCTCTCCATCCATGTTTCTTTCCCTCTCTTTCTCACTTCCTTCCCCTCTCTCTAAAAATAAATAAGAGTCTACGGCCATGCCCCTCTGAATGCACCTGATCTCATCTAAAAATAAATAATAATAAAAATAAAATAAAAAGTAAAACACTTTAAACTTAATGCCCCCTCAGAAAGCATTGTTTATATTGCTTTGGCGGGGCTCAGCTTGGCAGCAGTTCTCATGTGGAGGTCTCTCATTGCAGTCAGGGGGAGCTGGTGCCGGAGTCTTCTCATAGGCTTCCCCACCAAAATATCTGGTGTTCGGACCAAGGAGACTTGGACAGCAGGGGGCTAGAGCAGCGAGAGCATCTCTGTCCCTCTCTGTGGTCTCCCCATGTGACCTCCCTGGCAGGCACAGCAGCTTCGGGCCAGCCGTACCCGGCGCCTGTAGCTGTAGCACAGGACCCCAAAGGCCTGAGTCCCGGTAGTGAGCCAAGAAGAAGCTGTACCATCTTTCCTGACATGGCCTTGGAAATAGTATTAGTTGTGTCATATTTTTATTGATTGAGGCCATTACAAAAAGCCTGGCCAGGTTCAAGGAGAGAGAACATAAACTCCACTTCTTGGTGGGGAACTAGCAAGGTTCTGGAAGAACCAGGTTCTGGAATGGGAAATATTGTAATAGCTGTTTTTTAAAAAATGTAATCTGACACAGCCTGCCTTCTGGCCATAACAGTTCATACCCCTCTTGCACACAAAATATAACTCTCCTCTTCACTCAGATTGCCAAAGCCTGGCGTCAGACTCCAGCTTGAAATGCACAATATCATCATCTAAATCAGATTTAGGGACACATAAGAGGTTCTTGGGTACAGTTCCTCTAATATAGTTTATCTCAATAAAAGAATTTGTGAACTCAAGAGACCTATATGCCCACACATCCAATAAATAGTGATGAGATAAATTACTGCAGCTTTATACTTAGAAATATAAAACACACAGACAAGTTTTTTTCCACTAGATGCTTGACTGTATTTGAAAGTAAATGTTCAGATATTAAAAATAAATCTGCTTCCTCTGTTGTCAAGGCATGTTGTGTCTTTCTGTTGGAAGATAGAAATAGAAAGATTTTAATAAATTTTTAGTTCTTTATGGTATGACACTATTACCTTAATCCTGTAAGATATATTTTAAGCAATAAAATGAAGGTATTTTCTTAACACTAAATCAGTTCTCCTTTGGCCATGACCAAGTAACTGGGATCACACTCGCTCTCCTGCATAAACAACTGTAAATTAGTCTAAATATGTGAAACAAATGTGTTCAAGCATTGGACAACAGACGGTGGCAGGATTGTGACACCTGAGAGAGAAAACAGTGAAATTAGCCCTGTGGCTTCCCAGGCTTTCCTCCTAGAGGCGCCTGCTCGGCTGCAGCCCGGGAGGGAGAGCTGGAGCTGAGCACCGCAGACTTGCAGAGCTGAGACCGGAGAGGTCAGACTTCAGAGGAGCTGAAGTGGCGTGAATTCTCAGGGCAGAGTACCGGGCAGCAGGGAGATGCAGAGAACCTCAAAAATCTACATAGGTCTCCCTTCAGGCTATTGCTGAATAGTAAACCACACATATGTAGGATGAAATGCCACTCAACTGGGTAAAGAAGAACAATAGAGAGATAAGCCGAACAATTCCCAGAGTTCACATTGGGCTGGGACACATTTAGGTCCTACCAGCCAAAGCTGAGAGTACTCATAGACCACGTAGGGCATTCAGGCGACTACAGATGGATAAGGCATTGGTAGTAGAGCTATAAATTAGCCCTAGAGTAAGACTGCTTTAGAACTACCCTAACATATCTTTAAAACGAGCTTCAAAGAGATCAAGCTAGGGGTTTCCAGCCAAGATGATAGAGTAGGTGGACGCTACGCTCATCTCCTCCCATGAGCACATCAGAATTACAGCTAAATTATAGAACAATCAACCTGGAGAACCATCTGAAGAGTAGCTAACCAGAAGCCCTATAACTAAGGATATAAAGAAGAAGCCATGTCAGCACAGGTAGGAGGGGCAGAGATGCAACATGGGCTGTCCCCACCCCCATCTGTGGTGGTGAGGAATCCAGAGGGATGTCAGCTGCAGAGGTGCCCCCTTAGGCGAGGGGATCTCAACCCCACACCCAGCTCCCCGGCCCGGAGCACCTGGCTGTGGACCTCAGCAGGGCTCCTGCTATCCAGGTGAGATGGAAGGCCACTGTAAACCCAGGTGTTCTCTTCAAGTGCTAGTGAAATGACATCATCTGAAATTTTATTTAAAATGCTTTAGCAAAGAGAAAAAGGCATAGATAAAACAGATCTGGAAAAATCTTGGTGATTGATATATGGTAGTTCATATATCTTTACTTTTGAATATATTTGAAATTTTTTATAATGAAAAACATTTTAATGGCATTTCAGAGTTCCAGGGAAAGAGCATATTTAGTAAATGGTATTAGAGCAATTGTCTCTGTATTTAGGGGAAACATGTAGATTCTTCCCTTCCACCAAATACATAATAAATTTCAGAAGAATTAAAGACTCAAGTGCTTAACAGGGGATTATTGAAAACTAGAAAAATATAGAATATTTTTGGTGCATTAAAAATGGCTTCTTAAACAAGACACAAAACCCAGGACCCATAGAAGAAAAGATTATTAACCTCAACAACATAAAAACTAAAAATTTCTGCCCTGGCTGGTGTGGTTCAGTGGATTGAGCACAGGCCTGCAAACCAAAAGGTCGTGGTTCAATTCCCAATGGGGGCACATGCCTGAGTTCCAGGCTGGGTCCCCAGCAAGGGGAGCACGAGAGGCAACCACACATTGATGTTTCTCTCCCTCTCTTTCTCCCTCCCTACCCCTCTCTCTAAAATAAATAAATAAAATCTTAAAAAAAAACAAACACTAAACTACAAATTTCTGTTAAACAAAATAACTTTAAAAACTTAAGAGAAAGGGTCCTGGCCAGTGTGGCTGAGTTGGTCAGAACCTTGCTTCCTAGCCAAAAGGTTGCAGGTTCCATTCTCAGTCAGGGCATATACCTAGGTTGCAGGTTCCATCCCTGGTCTGGGAGCATAAGGGAGGCAACTGATAATGCATTTCTCGCCTGTCAAAGTTTCTCTCTTTCCCTTTCTCCCTTCCTCTCTAAAAGCAATAAAATAATGTCTTTGGGTGAGGATAATTTTTAAAAGTTAAGAGAAAGGGAATAGAATAGAAGAAATATTTCTAACATAAGTATTGTTACAACTATTAGGACTGATATCTAGAAAGAAATATATTTAAATAATTACAAAAAGACAGAAATTAGGAAACTGTGTACAGGATATGAACTGCCAGCAGCACATGAGACGAGGCTCTTTCTCTCTTACCTAGAAATGAAAATTCAGTCAATAAGATGACCTTTGGCAAAAATTTCAAAAATTGACAATCTCCGGTGTGGGTGCGAGAGAAACGTGCTCTCACATACTTACTGCTGGTGGGAGAGTAGGCGTAACCCTTCAGGGGCAGTTCGGTTATGTCTTTTAATATTAAAATGTACGATTTCTGCTCCTCTGGTTTTATCTTAAATATCTGTTCCCATGTGTATTCAAGGAGGCGTTGGCTCAGCTGTAACTGTGCAAGTATGTAAGACACACATGGGAAATGGTTTGGAGAAAACGCGCCTAAACCGATGTCATGGTGGTCACCTGGGGGGGCCGGGTGCACAACGGCACGTGCAGGTGTCGCTGTTTTTGCCATTTTTCATTAGTTGTTGTTTTGCAGCAATATTTTGTATTCATGAAGTTGTTAAAAATTAAAAGTGTGCACAAAAAGATGTGCGACCCAAGCAAGGTTCTTATGTTTGTGCCCGTGCACATTCCCTGGTTCGCACGCGGCGGCTTGCTCACACAGTCACTGCTGTCTGGGAAGCTGAGGGGAGGGGCTCCCTGTTGTACTTCTGCGGCTTCTTTTGGGTCTTAATTATTTCGGGTTTTAAATTAACAAAAAATTAAAATTAAACATCAAAAGTGGAACCATGGCCACTCATCACTAAAGTCTTTTAAATTACTGAACTACTCCTATCACTTAGGAAAAAGCAGTCACTGTGTATTTCCCTGTGTTCTGTGATAGGTCCTGGGTGACCTGGAATGTCACGGAGTCGCAGGGTCAGAACAAAGCCGAGCAGAGCTGGAACAGAAAATGGATGAAGCGAAAGAAAATATTCGAAAAGCAGAGGTGAGGTGGAAGCTAATTTTGGCATTTGCCCAGCTCCATTAATGTCTCAGCTGTGGTACGTACCTTTAGAATCCAGTTTCTGTACACTTACTATAATGAAGACGACTCACCATCTTCATCTGTATCGAGAATATTATTTTTAAGTAACTGCTTCTTACAAGGTGGTGCATGCAACAAAAAGACCCTAATCTAAGAAGCATTTACAATCAATAAACATTAAATAAAAAAAGGAATTAAGTCACAATGAAGACACTAATTTTAAGGTTATACAAGGTACTTAACAGTCAAATTAACAGCATAGAAATCGGTATATATGAGGTCAGAGCCCCCCCATATAGACACCCCCCCCATATGGAAGATTCTCTGGAATCTTAGATCTAGGGGCATAAGCTAAGCTTTTAAAAGAGAAGACTTGATTAAGCAAACAAGACAAATTTACAACAGTGGATTTTAATTTGGGAGAGGTTATCATGGGACCTTTTGAGAGTTGTATGAAAGTGTGAAACCTTCTTTCCCGTAAAAAGAATAAATAAATAACATTTCTATGTGTAGTGTCTAGAAGTCCATGTTACCTACACTAATATTCCCTGACCTCAAGGGGGAGAGGTTAAGATGGAAAGAAAGAAGTTACTTGAAAAGAAGGAAGACATGGGACACAGTTTGGCAGTCAGATTTGATTAGAGGGGCGGACTTTTATAAGGAAACATGGTAGAAAGTAAATAAATTAACTGTGGTTAGGACCAGTTCGTGGAGGACCTGTGTGCACTTGGGTATGGTTATCTACTGTATGCACCTCGGAAGGAATATGGAAGGAGGCACTCAAAAAAGATGGAGGCCGCCCAGCCCTCAGGGACGGCGTGTTCTTGTTAGGAGGGCGTAACAGATGCCGAAGACAGCCGAGACTGTGAGCCTAAGTGCCTGGGAGTCGTCCACAGAAGCATACTTAATACTTAAGAAACCCAGAAGAGCCCTGGCCAGGTAGCTCCGTTGGTTAGAACATTATTCAGGTACGCCGAGGTTGTGGGTTCAGTCCTCAGTCCGGGCACAACCAGCGAATGCATAAGGAAGTGGAACAGCACATCTATGTCTGTTGGTCTCCCTCTCCCCCCTCTCTTCCTCTATCTCTCTAAAATCAATAAAAATGAACAATTTAAAAGAAGAACCCCAGAAGAAACATGTCCCCATGGGAGGCGTCACTAGGGCAGGTGATACAGAAGAAGTAGGACATAGATGGGTGTAGATAGATCGGTAGCATTCAATTGGTCAGAGAAAAAGGGATAGCACAGATTTATGCCATGCAAGCTAAAGAGGCAGAACTTGAACTAAAACAAGAAGGCAGGAAGGAGGCAGATCTGAACTTGGTATTGGGAAATAACCTTCTAACAGCCAGGTCTTCCCAACGAGGCGGGAAGCTCCCCTGGCACATGGCGCAGCTTTACGATTCTGGGCAAACATCTCGGACTCTATACAAGGAATTCTTGCATCCTTTGCTTTTCAAATACCCCCTTAGGACTCGAGAGGTTTTGAGGACTTGTTTTGGTGGGGGTGGGGAAGTGCAGTAGAGAGGTAGCATACACAGACATAGGAAATATGAGCACGTTTTTGGCACAACTTCATGGAAGCAACCTCTACCAGAAACAATTTGCCATCTACCTGGTCTAGAGAAGCCTCGGTAACCACGACTCGTCTTTTTCTTCTGGTAAATGATCTACAGCCTCCATAGTGAAAAGGGCAGTGTGTATAATAAATAGCCTTTTTTCTCTCTGAATTCAGAGCCAGAGCTAAAGCACTACTGTAGTGTGCCGGCCAAGAACTGTTGGCAGGTCCTTTCCTCATCTGGGAAACGCTGCCCTGTGTAGAGCGCTTTCCTTGTTTGTTTCTTCAGACTCTGGGCGGGGCCGGTTTCAGACCCTTGGTAGTACAGGACGGGTCCCAGAAGTTTTCTTAAGGCTGTGTTCTCGCCTGTATTTTCCGTCTCCAGACTCCATCCGTGTTGTCACCGTCTGCTGCCCTGGCTCCCCACACCCCCAGCCGTGCGGTAGTAGGCGTTGACCACACCAAGTCCGCATTTAGGCTGACTGACCTGTTGTTTCCATGAACTTGCTGAACTGCCCTGTGTTGTTAGCTTAAAGGTGAAAGTATGAAGTGAGGTGTCCACAGCAGAATGTCTCTTCTCTCCCAGTGTCAGTGTGTAAAGTCTGCATTCTCAAAAATAATTTTCTTACCAAAATATGGAAGGTGCTAAAAACCATGATGCCAGATCCGTAATTTCAGCTTTGACTATTTATAAAATGTAGTTAATCCTGCTAACCTAAAATTATCTCTCACTTGATTTCCGCTTATCAGACACAGAGAATAACCCCGCTAAAGTTGGATGGCAAACATGAGGGTAGCATTGGGACAACACTCAGAGGGCTGCCCTGGTGAAATTTTGGATGACTGCACCGTGGGAGCCTTCGGAGGAATTGATAATAATGGGCTTTGGGGATTCTCTTCTTTCTTCTGCCTAAATATTATTTGCATTGAATTTTCTCTTTTCATTCAATAGTTAGTTAGTTATTATAAACACCTATACAAAAGGGAGAGAGAACTGGTTAAAACCCCCTCGTATCCTTCATGTTTGGTTTCTAACTCCTACCGGGGTGAATGATACCCTCCCTTGTTGGTCAGTCTGCTTTATCCAGTGTTTTCTGTGCTGCAGTTCCATTCAGTGTTGCTAGTTAGAATAAAACCCTTTTGTGGTGCTGAGCAATAAATTAAAGAAACTTTTCCCAATCATAACAAATTGAAAATATAAGTGGCTTGTGCTTTTCCAAAAAATAGGGCTTATATAGTGATTAATTGATTATTGGCTGGTTAATTTGAGAGCAAATTCACTAGTTGATTAGTTTAACAGATACTTAACGAGTACCTTAATTGGTGCCAGACACCGATGAATGTTTTAGACACACAGGGACGAGCAAACTGTTGTTCCAGTTAGGATCTCCATGACAGCCACAGGGACATCTGTGCAGGACACGCTGCTGGCGTGTTCCCCGACTAACTCACGAGTCGGAATGAGGCAATAGCTTCTTACACTTTAATAACAATTTTCCTAATTTGATATGTAGGTATTTGTATTCTTGAAATTCACGTGTTACGCAGACACACAGATATTCTTTACCTGGCACGTCACACCTCCTTTTAAGGTAGCTTGCCAAGAAGCCAAGAGTTTTAAAAGCCATACCTGACTTATGTTGTTCCAGAACACAATTATTTTTATGTTTAAATTGTACCTTTTATTTGACTTGAGGGCAGTTCTCTCTTCTTACGACAGTGAAATGCTTAACACAATGAAGAGAAAGTTAATGTAAGAAGTTAAAGATACCCAGAAGTTTTTAATAGCTCATATTTGGTGTAAGGTCTGCAGGAGGAACTATAGACTACATGATTCTTTCTTTAAGATATTAACTACATTCTATTATCTGAATTGAACATACGTGTGAAAGCTGAAGTATGTGGTATCAAGTGAATTAACAAAACAAAAAATCAGTTATTGTTTACATTTACATAAACACATTTTCATAGATAACCATTTTCTCTTAACTGATCCTTTTACTCGGTCCTGCTGTGCACTAGGAATCCAGAATCACCGAGCGATCACTGAGGCCCGCGCAGGTCCCAGCCTAGCTGTGGCTTGGGGTTGCTATCCGCCTCATAAAGCGAAGCAGAGGCTTTGTGTCCTGAGAAAACAGAGTCGTCTTCTCCTCCGAAAAGCCTCCTACATAGTTGGCGTTGACGTCCTCCAGAGACAGGAGAGCAGGACTTGAGACTTTGAGTCTGGGTTTTCAGTTGAGGTAGAGAAAGGACAGTGGTTACAACCAGAAAGTCCAGAGTGGGGTGTAGGTGCCTCCAGAGCACATCACTGTTTGCCCAGCCAGAGCTTCATGACAGTCGTAGAAGTGGATCCTTTAATAATGAAATAATAATAGTAATAATACAGTGTCCCCCCTTAAAATTTCAATGCCATCCTTATACCTCAGTAACTCAAACTGGGAAGACCCTTGGCCATGATGCTGTAAGAGGAGTCTAAAAATGTTCATTGCGTAAAATGTGACGCTTCAATACTAGAAGGTTTATGAAATGCTAAGGGTGAGCCTGCTATTAAAATAAGATTTCCAACCAAATTATATCCAAATTTACCTCAGGGCCTGTTTTATAGGATTTCAGTGTACTCTTTTTTTTTTCTTTTTAAAGATTTTATTTTTAGAGAGAGGGGAAGAGAGGGAGAAAGAGAAGGAGAGAAACATCAACGTGTGTTTGCCTCTCGAGCACCCTCTACCAGGGACCCGACCTGCAGCCCAGGCATGTGCCCTGACTGGGAATCAAACCTGCCACCCTTTGGTTCACAGGCCAGCACTTGATCCACTGAGACATACCAGCCAGGGCTCACTGTACTCTTATAATATGATAGACCTCTTGACTAGTCACTTTCTTTGGTTTTAATGTGAAATTTTTAAAACATACAAAAAGATGAAAAGTAAATATATTATTTCCCAACATGATAAATTCAACTGTTAGGGGCTTAAGGGTTTTTGTGGGTTTTTTTTTTTTTGGAGAGGGGGGAAGGAAAGGAGACAGAGAGGGAGAGAAACATCAATGTGTGGTTGCGTCTCCCATGCTCCCTGCTGGGGACCTGGCCCACAGCCCAGGCAAGTGCCCAGTGACCCTTTGCTTTGCAGTCTGGCACTTGCTTCACTGAGCCACACCAGCCAGGAACTATTAATATTTTGCAATATTGGCTTTGTGTGTTTATTTCTATTCTATAAAATGGAAGTTAATTTTGTAATTCTCCGTCATTGAAGTTCATTCTATTCTGTAAAATATCCTGATGAGAATCAGTATTTTAGACAAGAATACTTCATAGAATTGCTATGTTGTTCACCATAGTATGTTTGTCTCAAGCTGTCTCACTATTAATGATGCTAAGAGTGGTCACTTAATGAAGGTGGTGCCACCAG